GTAATGCTGGCCTCATAAATGATTTGGCAAATGTTTCCTTTCCTTCTTTTTCTGGAAGAGATTTATAGATTTGTTTTATTTTTTCTTTAAATGTTTGAATGTGGTAGGAGTGCCTGGGTGGCTCAATCAGTTACGTGTCGACTCTTCATTTCGGCTCAGGCATGGTCTCACAGTTGTGAGATTGAGCCCTGAGTTGGGCTCCAAGCTGGGTGTGAAGCCTACTCAAGATTCTCTTTCTCCGTCTCCCTGTGCGCCGCCCCCAAATGTTTGAATATGGTAGAATTTGTCATTGGGGGGAAAAAATCTCTGGGCCCAGAGATTCTTTTTTGGGACGGTTTTAAATTATGGATTCAATTTTTTTAGTAGGACTATTCAGGCTCTTCCGTTTATCTTGGGTGAATTGTTGTGTTTATGGTTTTTGATGAGTTGCTCCGTTGTTGTCTGGTTTATATGTATAGTGTTCTTCATATGTCCTTCATTATACTTTTTTTTTCAATTTTATTTTGTTATGTTAATCACCATACATTACATCATTAGTTTTTGATGTAGTATTCCATGATTCATTGTTTGCTCCATTCATTATACTTTTAATGTTTGTGGAGTCTATAGTGATAATTCCTGTTTCATTCCTAATATTGATAATTTGTGTATTCTCTCTTGGCAGTTTTTCTTTTTTAAAAATATTTTTATTTATTTGTGTGAGAGAGAGAGAACACAGGCAGGGAGAGCAACAAGCAGAGGGAGAGGGAGAAGCAGGCTCCCAGCCGAGCAGGGACCCTGATGCAGGGCTCGATCCCAGAACCCTGGGATCATGACCTGAGCCACCCAGGTCTGAATGTTTTTTTTTTATTTTTTTTAAAAATTATTTATTGAGAGAGAGAGAACATGAGCCAGGGCAGAGGCAGAGGGAGAAGCAGGCTCTCCAGTGAGCTGGGAGCCTGATGTGGGGCTCCATCCCAGGACCCTGAGATCATGACCTGAGCCGAAGGCAGATGCTTAATGACTGAGCCACCCAGGTGCCCCTATAGTTAAGTCTTTTATGGTTTGCCTCCCTCTGGTTTTATCTAATTTTTCCTTCTCTTCCCCTATGTTCATCTCTTTGTCTCCTAAATTTCACATGAGTGAAATCATATGGTATTGTCTTTCTCTGATTGACTTATTTTGCTTAGCATAATACAGTCTGGTTCTATCCATGTTGTTACAAATGGCATGATTTCATTCTTCTTGATGGCTGAGTAATATTCCATTGTGTATATATACCACATCTTCTTTATCCATTCATCAGTCGATGGACATTTGGGCTCTTTCCATACTTGGGCTATTGTTGATAGTGCTGCTATAAATATTGGGGTGCGGGCGCCTGGGTGGCTCAGTCGTTAAGCATCTGCCTTTGGCTCAGGTCATGATCCCAGGGTCCTGGGATCGAGTCCCACATCGGGCTCCCTGCTCGGCAGGAAGCCTGCTTCTCCCTCTCCCACTCCCCCTGCTTGTGTTCCTGCTCTCACTATCTCTCTCTCTGTCAAATAAATAAATAAAATCTTTAAAAATAAATAAATAAATAAATAAATAAATAAATATTGGGGTGCATGTGCCCCTTCAAATCAGTACTTTTGTATCCTTTAGATAAATACCTACTAGTGCAATTGATGGGTCATAGGGCAGTTCTATTTTTAACTTTCTGAGGAACCTCCATACTGTTCTCCAGAGTGGCTGCACCAGTTTGCATTCCCACCAACAGTGTAAGAGGGTTCCCCTTTCTCCACATCCTCGTGCATGGCCAATGATTTAATCACACATGCCTGTGTAATGAAATCTTGATATTAAAAACCCTGAACAACAAGGCTCAAGGAGCTTCCTGGTTAGTGAACATGTGTACTGAGAGGGTGGCACACCCTAACTGCACAAGGACAGAAACTCCTGTGGTTGGAACCCTTACCGACCTGCCCAGTATACCTCTTCATCTGACTGTTCATTTGTATCTTTTTTTTTTTTTAGATTTTATTTATTTATTTGTCAGAGAGAGACAGAGCACAAGCAGGGAGAGAGGCAGGCAGAGGGAGAAGCAGGCTCCCCGCTGAGCAAGGAGCCCGATGCGGGACTCGATCCCAGGACCCTGGGATTATGACCTGAGCCGAAGGCAGACGCTTAACCGACTGAGCCACCCAGGCGTCCCCATTTGTATCTTTTATAATAAAATGGTAATCCTAGGTATAACACTTTCATTAGTTCTGTGAGTTCTTCTAGCAAATTATTAAACCTGTGAGAAGCTCCACATTTGTAGCCAGCCAGGCAAAGCATGTGTGGCTTTGGGACACCCAGGACTTATGGCTATACTCTGAAATTTGTGCAATCTTGTGGGACTAAGTCCCTTAACCTGTAGGGTCTTCACTGATTCTGAGTAGTTAGTGTCAGAATTGAACTGAATTGTAGGATACCCCATTGGTGTCAGAGACCTGAAACAGAGCAACCCATCAACCAAATGAAATTAACACTTAAAGACACTCAACCCGGGGCACCTGGGTGGCTCAGTTGGTTGAGCAGCTGACTCCTGGTTTCAGCTCAGGTCGTCCTGGGATCTAGCCCCGTGTCGGGCTCTGCACTTGGTGAGGAGTCTGCTTGTGAACTTTCTCTCACCATCTCCCTCTGCCCCTCGCCCAGCTTGCTTTCTCTCTAAAATCAATCAATCAATCAGTCTTTATTTTTTTTATTATGTTCAGTTAGCCACTGTATAGTACATTATTAGTTTTCGATGTGGTGTTCAGTGGTTCATTAGTTGCATATAACACCCAGTGCTCATCACAGCATGTGCCCTCCTTAATACCCATCACCCTGTTACCCCATCCCCACATCCCCCTCCCCTCTGAAACCCTCTGTTTGTTTCCTGGGGTCCATAGTCTCTTATGGTTCGTCTTCCCCTCTGATTTCCCCCCCTTCAGATTTCCCTCCCTTCCCCTATGGTCCTCTGTGCTTATTGCCTATGTTCCACATATGAGTGAAACCGTATGATAATTGTCTTTTCTGCTTGACTTACTTCACTTAGCATAATCCCCTCCACTTCCATCCATGTCGATGTAAATGGTGGGTATTCATCCTTTCTGATGGCTGAATAATATTCCATTGTATATATGTACCACATCTTCTTTATCCATTCATCTGTTGAAGGGCATCTCGGCTCCTTCCATAGTTTGGCTATCATGGACGTTGCTGCTATGAACATTGGGGTGCATGTGCCCCTTCTTTTTACTACGTCTGTATCTCTGGGGTAAATACCTAGTAGTGCAATTGCTGGGTCTTAGGGTAGCTCTATTTTTAATGTCTTGAGGAACCTCTGTACTGCTTTCCAGAGTGGCTGCACCAGTTTTCATTCCCACCAACAGTGTAAGAGGGTTCCCCTTTCTCCACATCCTCACCAACACTTGTTTTCTGTCTTGTTAATTTTTGCCATTCTAACTGGTGTAAGGTGGTATCTCATTGTAGTTTTGATTTGTATTTCCCTGATGGAGTCTGATTTCTTTTAATAGGAAATGATATTTAAAGTCCACAATCTGAAGGCAGGGGTATTCATTGCTACTGGGTTATCATTGCTATTAGGCCTTTTTAGGCCATTCCTCATGCCAAATCTCTTATCATAATTTCTTGATTGTCTGATACTTGTTACATGGTTCCTAGGGGCATTTCCTGGGAATACTGTTCTTTGAGTTCTGTTTTTCATAACCATTTGTTTCCTTTAGCCATGAAAGTTAGTTTGGCTATATAGAACATCCTTGGCTTACATTTTATTTCCTTGGGTATTTAAATATATAATTTCATTGTCTGCTGGTGTAAACTGTTTGTGCCAATGTCTGTTGTCGGTCAGTGCCAATGTCTTTTTGTCTTTCCCTTCTAAGTTATTTGGACTTACTGCACAGATGCTAATGAAATGTTTTTCCCCTTAAAATCCAGTAGTTTTATGAGACTGTGTGTTGATGTTAATCTTCTGAGTTGTTTTCCCAGGTATGTGATATACCATTTCAATATGCAGATTTAGCCTTTTTTTAGATTTCCAGAAATTTTTTGAATTATAGTGGCTAGTATTTATTTCATAGCATGGGTTTTCTTTTGGGGGGCCTCCTAGAATATCTATTTGTATTTACTTTGCCTTTTATTTATCACTTTTACTTTTAAATTTCTGTTTAATTTTTTTTCTCTTTTTTTCTCCCTTATTTGTATGGTGTCTTCTCTCATGTCTCTTCTAGTTGAGTCTTCATTTCTGATCCTTTTCTGAGTTAGCTCAGATTTCTTTTTATGTCTTCCTGTTGTCTAGCTTTCTCATGTAAGGGCTTTTCTAATTACAATTTATGTTGTTTTAAAGCTTTTTTTAAAAAGTTTCTTTTAGTTTGTTCTATAATGTAAAGTTACAGTTTTCATCTCCTTTAGGCCAGATTTTTCTGCTGTATTTTCATTTTCTATAGGTATGCTATTCATATGACTATCCTCTTTTTCTTAAAGTATTGGAATTGATCAACTGCCCTTTTCTGTGGCTCATGTTTATTTTTTGTGCGCTTGAATGCATTATGTACAATATGTAACATTAAAATTTTATTAGCTCTGGATGATGTTAAGCTCTAAGTTACAACCTATTAAACTATAAGGTGTTGTAAGTAAGTTAGGCACCGTGTCTTTTTCTTTAGCAAGATGTTGTAGTTAGGACAGTGGTCTGTCTTGGTCAGTTGCCATTGATACCATGATTGCTCTATAGTCTAGCAATCTCAGTGATTGAAATTATATCTTTGTTGTAACGTAATGTCTTTGTAATATCTGGCTATTTCATGGGCATCTGTAATGGAAAGATAAGTACTTTTATATGCACTAAACAGATTTTGAACCTGAGTTTTGTGGGGTTTTTACCCGTCTTCCAACAAAGCAACCTAATTAATGTATAGAATTAGTAGTGCTACTTGGCCCTGGGAATGTTTGTGTTACTTAATGAGCCCTGATATGCTGCTGCTGTTTTGTTTTAGGTTAAATGGAAACCATCGTTGGGAGCTGGTTGCTTGTGTAGCCGTTTTATCACATCAGTGAATTGCAATGAGTGGAGGAGGAGAGCAGCCGGATATTCTCAGTGTTGGAATCCTGGTCAAAGAAAGATGGAAAGTGGTGGGTACACACCTTAGAGAGAGAGAGAGAGAAAATGTCAGGGGATAATTTTTGGTATAGAAAATAATACATATATTGCATATATGCCTAAAGCATATTTTCAGTTATTTTCCTGTGATTTAGTCCTGTTTACACCATAATTCTTGCTTTATATAGTAGTAAATGTTGCTAACCTCTGATAGCTAATATTGAGTAAAGTAGAAAAAAATGTACTTAGGGAAAGACAAATCAACAAAAAAAATAGCGTACAATGAACTTCTCTTTTTAAAAATTTTTGAACTTTTTATTAAGGAAAATTGTAAGCATACATAAAAATAGCGAGACTGATTTAATGAAGCTTTATGTACTCATGCCCCAGCTTAAAGTTATCATTTTATAGTCAATCTTGTTTTCTCTTTAACCTCCCTCCCAGAATATTTTGAAGCAAATCTTTTACCTTAGCATTTCTTCTGTATGTATTTCAGTTATGTATCTCTAAAGGATAAAAATTCTTTTAAAAATGTAATCATAATAATATCACACCTAAAAAAGTAATAATTTTTTAATATCGTTAAGTATCCTTTCAACTTCCACATTTCCCCTATTGTAAATTATTTTTAATGGTTTGAATCATATCCAAGTAAAGCCTGGGTATTGCAGTTGGTTGACATCACTTAAGTTTCTTTTAATTTCTAGATTTCTTTTCATCTTTCTTTTTTTCCTTGCTGTTTTTTTAATTGAAGAAAATAGGTCATTTGCCTGTAAAATTTCCCGTAGTTTGGATTTTTCTGATTTCTTCCATATGGCATTAACATGTTTCTCTGTCTCATATGTTTTATGTAAGTTGATATTTATTGAGGCTTAATTAGATCTGAGTTCAGGTTTGTTTATTGAGGTGGCATTTTTTTTCCATAAAGGGTATTGTGAACTGTCAATACGAGGCCAACATGTCTTATCACCCATTAAGACATTGTGTGTCCTTTTGCCCATTGTCATTTTAGCACTATTGATCATTTTCTAGGTTTATTAATTGCAGATTGTGACATTCTGTCATTCCTTCATTATTTAGTTGAAGTACATCTACAAAGAAAAATTTCCTATCAGCTATTTGATTACCCTGAGATACATTTTGATTAGGGAAATAGAATAAATATTTAATTCTATTTCTTAATTTACCAGTTTTCAGAATAACGAATTGGCTCCCTAGCATTTTCTGAAAGTGACCAGTGAGATTTTTAAAAATATACAATTAAGAATTCATGGATTTAAACATATTTCATGTGTTTCAGTCATTTGTAGTTATTACCCTTATTGATTCCCAGATTGTCTCATTTCACTAGGGGACACCCTTCACGTTGTCTCTTGAGTCTTTTCAACATGATCCTAATAATAGTCTTTTAAAGTCTTCCTTGTCCGAGACCTGGAATCTGCCATCTTTCCTTCTCTTAAAGGAACAAATTTTGTTTTAGATGTATTTAAATATATATTTTATTGCTACCCATTCTTTTATTAAAGTTTTGTTCCATTAGCAGGTTTAGCAAAGTTATTTTAGTGGTGTCCTTACTCTATCACAGATTGGAAAAAGAAGATTCTTCCTTTAGAAATATAAATGTTGTGTCTGGGTTACAGTGTTTTACCAATTAGGCAAATCAGTAGGCTTTGAAAATTTACTTGAGTAAATATAAGAACCATGTTGCCATCATGGATTGATACAGAGAAATTCCAACAATTAGTAGTCTTTTATGTAAGTCAGGAATGAGAGTTTCTTCGGTGAGCGCTTTGTATTAAGTGCTGTGATAAAGTTTGGCCATTTCCAGTAGACATATCAAAAGGTGACAAATGAAGCTAGGCCTGGCATAGTTGTTCTGTCCAGATAATTAGAGCTAATGTATGTATGTAACATGTCCCCCAAATTTGGGAGGCATAGTGGCATTTTAGTAAGAAATCACAGGCTCATTGTTACGGATGGTGTTTTGGTTACTACCATTATGAACAAACTACCTCCAAAAACTCAACAACTCAACAAACTACCCTTTATAGGCTTAAAAGAATTTTTAATTTGCTTACAATTTTGTGGATTAGGAATTTGAGAAGAGTTTGCTTGGGTGGTTTGTCTCTTAACCATGTAGCACTTGCAGGATTGTGTGGGTTAGAGGATCTACTCCCAAATGGCTTGTTTGGTGACTCGGAGGTCCTTCGTTCCCTTACTCAACCTGCTTCATCCCTGGTAGCTTCTTTTCTAGGCCCTCTCCACAGGTCTGTGGCTTCTCAGGATGGTCAGACTTTTTACATGGTAGCTGGCTTTTGAGAGACTGGAAACAGTAACTGCAAGGCTATTAAGGGCTATTCTCAGGGCTGGTGCAGAATTACTTTGCTGTGTTCTGTTGGTCAAAGCAGTCATAAGATTTACCCAGATTTAAGGGGGTGGGGAATGGACTCTGCTTCTTGATGGGTGAGCGTCAAGGTCAAACTGAAGAAGAGCAAAAGGGATGGTTGATATTGTTGTGATCATCTTTGGAAAAGAAAGTCTGCCATTTACCTCTATACTTTCCCTCATCTGCATACCCTTATCATACTAAACTGTCTCTAGCTCTTTGCCTTGTAAGAATTGATGATGTCTTAGTGCTTTGCCAAGCTCAATAAAAAATATTGATGTTCCACTATTGTTGAAATGACATAAGAATAGACCAAGGAGCAAAATCATTACTTTGGTGTAGATTTTTTGTTCTGTCATTTGGTAAGGTTTTTTTGTGAGGTAAAACATGAAGTTACCTCGCACCACAGTCCGTAATTAGAGAGATGTCTCTTTTGTACTGTTTATGAGTTTTTAAAGTTACACTAGGCTTTGTTTAATGGATAAATGTTAAGAATCCTAAGTATCGCTCAGGGCCCAACAAAAAACTGTTTAACTGAAATGAAGTTCTGGAACTTTATTTTAATCCTGAGTTCATACTGGAGCTCCTCGGGGTATCTCTTCCCATCACCCAACTGGAATAAAGGATTATGGCTCTTTATACAAAGCATTGAATAGCTATTTAGCAATAATTATGTAGTTACCACTTAGCCACTTGCTACAGGGGAAACAAAAAAATAGAAAGGAGTGGCTCTCTCTGAAGAAGCTTAGTTTCACTGTATGGGGCTAGGACATTGACAGTGGAAAGTTAAAAAACAGTACAGTGTATTAATATAAGTAATATCTGAGGTGTTTAGCCTAGTGAAATGATTAATTAAATGATTAAGCAAATAATTCCTATAGAAATTCAGAAGATAGAGAAATCAGCCTGGAGGCAGTAATCAGTACAGACCCAGTGTTGAAAGAAGTAGAACTTCAAGTGAGTCCTCTGGGGTGGTTAGGATTTAGGACCTTGTGCCTCTAGTGATGACTTGTGCATTATATCACATCCTAGTTGTTTGATAATGTGGAAAAGAGAAGACTTTCAGGAAATGGAAGAAGGGTGATTCCATGCTGTATCTAACTTGAAGTATATTATCCACCTTGGTGCTTGTAGCCCTGTAGGTTCAGTTGTCACTGACACTTGAGAATTTGCTTATATTACTCAAAGATCCTGGTATTCTTCGGTTAAGCTAACACATTTTATCAGGAAGGATAGTAAGTGTTGGTTTAAAGTGTTTTATTTGATTAGAGTTCAGTATTTGAGCATATGGTTATAAAGCAAACTCTGGGATAGCTTAGAACAGGAGGTTTCTGTCTCTTCTTTGGAGCCGGCTGGGTGTCTCAGAGGGGAGGATGAGTGGTGCTGCGAGGGCTGGGCTCTGGTTGCCCCACTCCCATCTCCCCACATACACATCTCAGCTGGGTTCCAGATAAGATTTCACTTGGCAAAAAGATTTCATGGTTTAAAAAGTCTTCAAATGATTGCCTTAGAATTAAAATAACATGTGGTTGTTGAGGGACGTTGGTGGGGAGTGAAACTTTCAGATACTGCACTTTTTTGTGACCTTTTTGATGCTGGCTGTAGATTAAATTTTAAAATTGTCTGTGGCTAAAATAATTTCATTACCTTTTGTGGCAAAACTGGGAAAAGGTTTTGATGCTGTTTCTAGGCATTTGTTTTCTTCTTGGCATATGTATAATTAATTTAACAATATTGAGATCTTTTATCCTCAAATAGGGATAGTAAAATTATATGTATTTTTTTAATATAAGAGATGAATTGATTTCCGATTAGAATGTTCTAGTAATTGTGTGTATGTTCTTATTTCCTGTGCAGTTGAGGAAGATTGGGGGTGGGGGCTTTGGAGAAATTTACGATGCCTTGGACATGCTTACCAGGGAAAATGTTGCACTGAAGGTAGAATCAGCTCAACAACCAAAACAAGTTCTGAAAATGGAGGTGGCTGTATTGAAGAAACTACAAGGTAAGCTGCTTTGTATGATATGCCAGACAGCTTATAATTTATTGTTATCTTTCTGAACCTCATTACATCCTTTCACTATTGACTGAATAATCAGGTGTCAGCTCAGTATAAACAATGCTTAGCATTTTTCTCTTTGAAATTTTATCACTAGCTTGTAGTAGTAGAAATATTAATTGCTTAGGCTAATTGGACTGTGGGAATTCCTTTTCATGGTGAGTAAGGATGAGAGAGTGAATTAGCTGAAACATTCTACTTTAGAATGTTATGGTAAAAATTTGCCTTCTTTTATTAAACCACTAAACATGAATACCTCTGAGTTGTTTCTACCCATGTTGTTGGAGGTAAATATGCTTTATTCACATTAAGAAAGCTGCCTTCAAATCACACTGCAGGGTTGATTAAAAATAATAGTATTTGTTATGTGATTTCATTAACTTCAATTTCATAGAGTAACTTTTTCTGGCCCTGTTGTCATTTTTGAGATCTGTTTTACTACTTGGATTCCTATTTTTTACTACAAGGGTAAATAACTTTTTTTCTCACTTTAACCCAGTGATGTAAAACCCTGAATATATTGCTAGTTTGTATTCATCTTTGTATTTTCAGTTTAATGATATAATCTGATATTACTCGTATTTAAATATTTTATCTGAATCAAAATTAGATGATTAGCACATTAAATGATCTTGTTAAGTTCTTGAAGGTTTGATATTGTTATGGGACATTCATTAGTATCTAAAGAAATTTAATACTAACATAGAGCAAAAGAAGTCGCTGGATTTAGTAGAAATAACTGTAGCTGGTAGAAATAGCAAGCACAAAATGCTGTGTAGCCTAGGACCTTCAAATTCATGGCTGTGTAGTCTCTAGGGTAAATGTGCTCTCATTGTGAATTACTGATGTTTGAAATTCTAGTGAACTAGTTTGTGTTAAGTTGATGAAATGTGTATTATGTATCCTGGCAATGTCTGTTCTTTTAATCATTGTCCTTTGCCTAAGCTTTCTCATTATCCAGGTTTCTCTACCAATTGGCTCATCATTTGATTAGAGCCTGATGCTAATAAAATTATAGATCTGTTTAATAGTTATTTTTAGCCCAAACTTAGGTTTCCCAAAACATGGGAAATGAGGAAGGCAGTGGATAGATCAACACCTATTGTCACTACTAGGAAAAGTGTAACTCGAAAAGGAAGAATAGGGGAAAAGATGGCGCTCTCTTTTTTTTCACCTTTTCTCCTTACTCCGTATTTCTTTGGAGCTGTTCTCAGCTCAGTGACATAGAGGCCACAAATAGGTGCAGCTGGAGCTACCAATTCCTGGTTTGCACAGATCCTAGGAGATCTGTTTGACTCTCAGACGAGCCCGTAAGGGATATGTCAGCATCAGTGTGGCCTGGAGCATGCCACTTCACCTTTCTCCTGCTTGGCCCTGAGGAAATGCTTCCAGGTGAGGCAGGATACAGCTCCATAGCCCTTTCTGTAGGTTCTCTGGCCTATTTTGGCTTTGATTTACCCAGGATTCTATGGGATAAAGCTTGAAGATAACTCCAGTGGATGAATTGGAGACCTTAGGACGCTAAGTCTCTCCTTCTATTTTATCCTTCATACTATTAACTAAAATGTTTCTCCTACCTGCTTATAACTATATCCTACTCCTCACAAGTCTTCACTTTTCAAAAACAAACAGGTTTTTATCTTCTGGTCTGTATTTCTTCTTCTTCTTTTTTTTTTTTTAAGTTTTTATTTTAATTCCATGGCGTGTATTTCAGTGAGGCAGCCCTTGACTCTTTTCTTGGCTTCCTAACTTATGCCTTCTGCATATTGAATGCCTCACAACTTATTTTGGTTGAGGGTGCTTTAGAATCTGGGTCTTTTTGAGAACATTTTATGGGACTGACTTAGGCTTGCCTCCTTTTGGCATAATGACTTCTTACTGGCCCCAATAAAAAGGCTAAGTGTGTAAGAGAAGATATCTAACCAGAGACTAACTCTTTAAAGGATTGGTTTTATTTATTTATTTATTTATTTTTAAAAGATTTTATTTATTTATTTGAGACAGAGAGAATGAGAGAGACAGAGAGCACATGACAGGGGGAAGGGTCAGAGGGAGAAGCAGGCTCCCTGCC